GCAGGCTTGCGGCGAGGCGAGGGGTGCAGTTACACATTGTGGCGGTCAGAGCAGGGCAGGACAGGGTGAGTGGCAATGAAACAGGGGCACAGGCAGGCCATAAAAGCTGTGGTGCGCGCAAGGGGCGCCAGGAAAATAGGAATGGCATGTCGACCTCAGTATAATAGGGGGCCGGGTCATTGTAGGGAGGGGAGGTGGCGGCACAGGCTGGCAGGCTTTGGCAGGGCTTTGGGAGGACTCAGGCAGGGCACAAAGAGGTGTCGGGGTCTTGGCACACACGCATGCATTTAGGGTTAAGCATTGTGAATGTAATGCTTGAAAGTACGTCTAGTGCTGGCACTGCTTGGGGCGCGCGGCCCATGCTGCCGCAGCAGGCTTCTTCAGGGCGTGCCGCGCACGCCTCCTCGCCACCAGGCCAGACAGCAGCGGCAGCGCCGTCACTGTGGCCAGGATCCGCGCGCCGCTGCAGCGCCAGCAGGGCGGGGCAACAACAGCATGGGTCGGCAGCCGGGCTGGGCGCTGGGGCTGGCGCGGCTGGCGGGCCGCCGCCAGATGCTGCATCACACCGCTGTTTTAAATACAAACAAAAGAAGTGGTGTATTATGTTTTCCTTTTGGAGCCCAGCCTGGAATCCCATCCCCGCCTTCAGCTCCCGGCCCAGGCCCCCGCTCACCCAAACGCCACGCACGCCGCCACGGAGCCGCCGGGGCAGCTGGCCAGCTGGCCGCCGCAGGCTGTCGGGAGCAGCATGACGTTGGCGCAGTACACGAACAGCAGGCCCGGGGACCGCAGCGCCAGGCGCAGCTGCAGGGGCCGGCGAGGCCGGCGGGGCACACGGGTTGGGGCGCAGCAGAGCGTGCAGTGCCCCCAGAGGGGTGGAGGCCGCGGGCCCAGGCAATGTGCCAGGCAGGCGGGCACGGCAGGCAGGTGGCCCCTCCCTCGCCTGCATGATCAGCACGACTGCCAGCATCCAGACGCCGCCGGGGTGGGCGGCCAGCACGGCACTGCCGGCCAGCCAGTCGCTGCAGTGCGTGCGTGCCTCCCAGGATTGCACCCCAAACAGCGCCACGTGCACAGCCGCCAGCAGCACGTATCTGCGGGAAGGAGCAGGCAGGCAGAGCGGGAGTGCGCAGGGATCAACGGCTGCCCGGCTGGTTTGGGAGGGGAGAATGTGAGGCGTGCAGGGAAGGCTTGCATCCAACGCCGCCGGCGAGCCGGCCGCCCCACGGCCGGTGGGCCGCTCTGCTGCTCTCCCAGGCCGCTCCCGCAGCGGTCGCACGCCGCGCCAGCCCCCCACCCCGCCCGCCCCCGCACCTGCTCTTGCGGTGGGCTTTGCGGTACATGGACTGTACCGGGGTGCAGAGCAGTACCATGGGCTGGAAGATGAGCGGCGCGCGCCCTACGGTGGACAGCAGCCAGGAGTGCATGCGCTGGCGGGCGGGCGCGGGGGCCGCCACCACCAGGGCATACAGCAGCGCGGCCAGCAGGGCATACACCGCTGCGTCCATCTGCGGGCGGGGGAGGAGCGCGGGGCGGGGCGGCGATGCGCGGCAGCAAGCAGACGTGTGTGTCGTTAGTGTGTGTGCCGGTGCGTCGGCGAGCTGTGTGTCAGCACTGGCCACAGACTGGCTACATAGGCTGCCGCCATGGAAGCGCCGGCAGGAGGTCCCCCCGCAGCAGGACCCCACGGCAGGCGCTTGCCTTGGACAGCTTTGGCTGGCGCCATGTGCGCAGCTGCTGCCGGGCTGCACAGGTGTCGTGCACGCGGGGCTTGAACATGGCTGGGCACAGCGGCTGCGCCTGCAGGCCGCCGCTGCGGGTGGCGGCCGCCTGGCACGCCGCGGCAGGCGGCGCGTGGGCGCCGCCTTTGGCCGGCGCGGCCGGCGCGGCGCCAGCGGGTCCCTCCTCCTCCTCCTCCTCCACCACCTCGGAGCTGGGGGCGGCCCCGCTGCCCCGCTTCTGCTGCTCCCGCTGCCCGGCAGCTGCCCGGCAGCTGGCCTCCAGAGGCAGCAGCACGCTGCTGGGGGACTGGTGGCCCGCCTGCATCCAGTCTGCTGGGTCGCCGCCGCCGCCCGGCCGGCACGCCTGCGGCGGCGCCGACGAGGGGCTGCCAGCCGGGAGGCGCAGCCCGGCGCCCGGCGCAGCGGCGCCGGCCAGGGGCCAGGTGCGGTGCGTCTGCAGGCTGCCAGGCGTGGTGGGCGCCTGCTCGGTAGGCAGGCCGCCGCAGACCTTGGTCCACTGCCGCCGCTGCTGGTCCAGCTCCCGCGCCGGATCCTCCACGCCCAGCGGCGGCAGCCTGGGCGTGGCGCCGGCCGGCCGGTCCTGCAGGCGCAGCGCAGCGAGCATGGCTCCCGCCTCGGGCACGCCGTGCTCCCGCAGCGCGTCCAGCAGGCGCCGCCGGTTCAGGCGGCAGGCCAGGCCCAGTGGGGACTCCTCGCCGTGCTCCGCGCGGGCCGCCACCCAATGCTCCGTGGCGGTGGCGGGGCACAGGTCTGCACGCACGCACAGAACAGCACGGGGAGGAGGTTGCAGGTTGGGGTCGGCAGGTCGAGGGCAGAAGCGGCTCCCCTGCAGCTCAAGCCTCGACGCCCAGCTGGCTTAAAAAACAGAAGCAACGGGAAGGCACCCCGAGGCAGGCCCGCCACCGCTGCCGCTGGTGCTGGCGCTGGCGCTGCTGCTGCCGCTGCCACCACCGCTGCCGCCGCTGCGCACCTGTCAGCGCCAGCGCGACCGCCTCCGGCTCGCGGAGCAGCGTGGCCACATGCAGCGCGGTGAGGCCGCCGCCCCAGCGCGTGTTGAGGCACAGCGGGAGCCCCACAAACTCTGCCCAGGCGGCCAGGGTGCGCACAACCTCGGCGCCGCCCATCAGTGCTGCAGGCGAGACGAAGGAGGGGTGCAGGCACGTGTGGGGGCCAGCGAGGCGCACCGCAGAGCAGCACCCCGACAGCGCACACAGGGAGCCATCTCAGCCCCCGTCCAGCAACGGGCTGGCAGGGGCAGCAGCGAGGGACGCGTGCCTGCGGCGTGCAGCACCGGGATGCCGCACAGGCGGCGCTCGATGTCCGCCACGGCCTGGCTGGGGGTGCAGGCAGAGCAGGTCATGGGCAGCACCAGGCGCAGCACCGCGGCCCAGCGGCGCAGGATGCAGGTGGCCGCCAGCTCCTGCAGCCGCGGCAGCCACACACGCAGCACAGCAGAGGTCAGGCCAGGTCAGCATGCGCCTGCCATGTGCGCACACTTTGCGCGGTCGCGTGCACACACATGTGCAGTCGCCACAGCTGGCAGCAGGACAGGGAGAGCAGAGGCCAGCGAGCAGCATGACACAACAAGCACATGGCTGGCTGGGATTGCGGCTCTCTCTGGCGCCGCACCCACCTGCGCGGCGCCGTCGACGCGCCGCAGCAGCGCGCCGTCTGCGCTGCTGCCGCCCGCGGCGCCGCGCCGCCACCGGCCGCGCCCAAACCGCAGCACCGCGCCCAGGCGGTGCAGCAGCTCGGAGGCGTGCGCCGCGTGGCAGCCCGGCAGCTCCAGCTGGCGCAGCTCCGCCACCGCCTCCTCGTCGTCCAGCACCAGCAGGGAGTGAGGGGTGCTCACCAGCACGCCGTGCTGCGCCTCCACCTGGTGGCACCCCTCCTGCGCAGCACAGCATGCCACGAAAACAGCGGCCAGGCGTGAGGAGGCAGCCCTCAGCGTGCGGCAGCATGTGGAGGCCTGCTGAGCGAGCAAAAGTGAGCTTGGCCGGCAGGGCAGCGGGCAGCCGGGCGAGGCGCGGAGGGCGGCGGCCCACCTTGAGGGCCGGGATGCGCAGCAGCGCCCAGCTCAAATCGCCAGCCTGCCCCTCCGGGCTGGCCAGCAGCATGCCGCACCCCAGCACCTCGGTTGTCGGGTACGTGCCTGCATGGGGCAAGCGGGGTGGTGCGCATGAGTGCTTGTATGGGGGTTGGGGTGGCACACAAAAGTGCCGCAGCGGGCAGGCTGCCCGGCAGGCAGCAGGCGTGACCGCACCCGCCACCCCGGCTCCAGCTGGCGGCAGCAGCGGCCACCACGGCCGCAGATGCGGCCCCCGCTCACCCGCGTTGCGGCAGTAGATGGTGTCCTGAGGGCCGCCTATGTGGCGCCCCGTCACCAACACGGGCCCCGCATAGGCGGGCGACACCGCCAGCGGGCGCACCGACAGGATGTGCGGCGCGATGGCGGCGCTGCCTCCCAGGTCCAGCCGCACGACTTGCTGCCCGCTGGCGTCCAACGCCGCCGCCTGGATGCCCAGCTGGGCCTGGGGAAGCGGGTTGGCAGGCGAGGCGGGGCAGGGTGGGAGCCGGGCACAGCGCGCGGTCCACGGGCGCATGCAGGACCGCAAAAGGGCGTGGAGCCGAGGCCGCGGTGCGCATTATGCAGGGGGCAGGCAAGGGGCCGGCAGCCGCCCGGCTCACCAGGATGCTCGTGCGCAGGCCGCCCAGTGCACCGCCGGCCAGCTGCTGCACCATGGCAGGAAAGTTGGCCGACAGGTGGCGCGCCTCCTCACCGCTCATCAGCGCCGACAGGCTCACGTGCACGCACCCGGGCCGCGTGGCGCCTGCAGCATAGCGGGAGCACGCAGGCCAGCTCAGCGCTGGCCGCCAGCCCAGCGCTGGCCGCCAGCCACGGCGCATACCTACAGCAGGGCGCGCACGCACGCCCTGCCCGCCACTTGTCCCCGGGCCTGTGTTGCGGGCCTGTGTCGCAAGCCCCTCTGCGGACAAACTGTCTAAGACGGCAAACACAAACAGCAAAGCTTGAGCCGCCCGCTGCGCTGCGCCGCGCCGCACCATCCAGCAGGCTCCTGTTCTGCACCACCCACTCCTCCAGCTGCTCCATTATATCCTTGGGCAGCTGGTCGGGCGTGCACTGCAGGCAAGGCAGGCGCGCGCGGCGGCAGCGGCGGCGCGGTTCAGCCCTCAGCTTCTGCAGGCAGGCCGCGGCCTCGAGCGTGTTTGTTGTTTGGACTCAGCGCTGCGGCGCAGGGCCAGCCGGCGGGGGCGAGTCTGGAAAGAAAGAAAGGAAGAAAGGCTTCTGGGCCTCACGTTGAAGAGCTTGAGGGAGAGCGACTGCATGCGCTCAGCGCCGGGCCCCGCCTGCCGCTGCGACGCCTCCACTGCCGCCACCAGCTGCAGCAGCAGGCTGGCGTCGCTGGCAAAGCCGGCGTCCAGCCCGCCGTTCTGCACCGCACTCTGCAGCTGATCCACGTCCAGCAGATGGCTGGGCCCCGCTGCAGCTGCAAACGGCGGCGGCGGCGGCGGGCCCGCGGGCGGCGCCCCCTCCTCCTCCTGCTGCTGCTGCCCCAGCTGCGGCAGCTGGAAGCCCACGCTCGGCGGCTGGCCGATGGACGAGCTGTTGACGTTGCCGCTGCTGCCCGGCGCGGTGCCGTTGGTGTGGAGCGAGGGCAGCCCGGCGGCGGCGGCCGGGGGCACGTGCCCGCCGTTGGAGCCATGCTGCCCCTGCTGTGGCGCCTGCAGCAGCGCCAGCAGGGGCTGCTGCTGGGGGAGGCGGGGCTCGCCGCCGGGCTGCGCCGCGCCTGACGACGTGCTGGCCCCGGCAGCTGCCGCCGCGGCCGCCTGGGCCGCCTCGTCGGGGCTGCCCCGCCCGCCCTCCCTGAGCGCCTGCGTCAGCGCTTCAGACGACACGCCCACGCTGCGCGCCAGAGCAACCAGCAGCGCCGCCTTGTCGCTTACGTCCGCGGCGCTGGCGGCGGGCTCGGGCTGCGGCTCTGCCACGGGCTCCGACCGGAGGAAGGGGATGCTGTGGCCCGGCTGCACGGCCGCCTGCTGCAGCTCCTGCTGCTGCTGCTGCTGCTGCGCGTGCTGCTGCGGCTGCGGCTGCTGCATGTGCTGCAGGAACACGCTTGCGGCGGACGCGCCCGGGCCGTTGGCCGACAGCGCGGGCACCGCCGCGGCCAGCCCCTGTGCCAGCTGCACGCGCTGCTGCTGCTGGAGGTGCAGCTGGCGCTGCAGGGAGTGGCCCAGCGAGCCGGGCGAAAGCGCAGCGTCCAGGGGAGAGTCGTAGGGGTAGGGAGGCGAGGTCGCCGCCAGCGGGCGCTGCGCTGCAGGCGACCCGCCATACACGCCAAACCCGGGGGCACGCGGCGCCGGGGGCGAGGCGTGGTGCGCCAGCGGCTGGCTGGGCGCGCCGGCCGCCGCCTGCAGCTGCTGCAGCTGCATCACCAGGGCGCCGTTCAGGACGCCGTGCCCCTGCTGCAGCACCTGCTGCTGCACCTCTGCAGGCAGCAGGGCCAGCAGCTCCTGCGGCAGCACTGCAGCAGCCGGGCAGCACACGGCGGCGGCGGTTGGCAGGGCGCGGCGTGGCCGCCTGTGGGCACGCTGCCACGTGCCTCGCATCGCACTGATTCACAGGGAAGGCCGTGCAGAGCCCGGCAGCACACAGGAAGGTCGGGCTGCTGTGCTTTGCAGGGGCAGCAATGGCAATGCCAGCGGCCGCTGCAGCCACGCCGGCTTACCCGGTGCCGCGGGCGGCGGCGCGAGCTGCGGCTGTGGGGGCGGCTGCGCGGCACCCATGGCTAGGCCAGCCAGCGAGCCAGCCGCCAGCCAGTCCATGCCCGCCGCGGGCGCCGGCTCGGCCAGGCTCTGCAGCAGCGCGGGCGACAGCAGGTCCTGCGCCACACAGAGTGCCAAGAAGCACCGCGGTGCGCAGTAAGCGAGAGTCAGTTGTTACCAGCACGTTGTTGTGTGGTGCCAAGCTTCTGTTTCCCGTGAAGCAAAGGCTGGCCCAGCGCTGCAGCCCTCGGTATGTGCGGGGCCGGCAGGCTGCCCCACCTGCAGCGCGGGGTCTCCCAGCAGCTGCTGCAGCCGGCTGCTCAGCTCGCCCGCGCCGCCGCCGCCTGCCATCATTAGGTCGCCGTGGCTGGCGTAGCCCTTGATGCCCGCCAGGCTGCCGCGGTACGGCGAGGGGCGGTACGCCTTGGCGCTGCGCGGGTTGCCGGGGCTGTCGTCGCTGCCGCTGTCCATCATCCGAGCCTTCTGCTCCGCCTCCGCCTTGCGCCGCCGCTCATTGTGCTTGTCCAGCTGCGGGGCGGGCAGCGGCGGGCCGGTCCAGCAGCGCTGTGAAGCCGCACACACAGAAGGCCCGGCTGCTGCCCGGCGCAATGCATGCCGCGGCTGCATGGACGCCCTGCCCCCTTGCCCCACATGCAGGTGCTGCCATGCCAACACGAACCGCGGCTGGCAGCGGGCAGCAACGCCGTGCGGCGAGCGCTCGTGCGGCGCACCTTGCGCCGGCACGACCGCCGGTCGCCCTCAAAGTCGGTCAGCAGCTGGAAGCGGCCGCACTGCTGGCAGAAGCGTATGGTCTGGCCCTCCACCACCAGGCACGGCAGCTCCAGGTGGTAGGGGCAGATCTTGTAGCGCTGCACAGCAGGGAGCGCGCAACAGCACAACAGCCGTCTTGCAAGGTGGGGACCTGGCCGAACGGCGGGATGGCGGCGGAATGCATCAGCAGCACCCAGCCCCGAGCAGTGCTCGGACGCATGCTTGGCGCCAGGCCAGCCGCGGCGACAAAGCCAGGGGCAGGGCCTGCAGCGCTGCGCCAGGGCAGGCCAGGCGGGGCCGCTGGGCGCCTGACCTTGTAATAGTCCCGAAGCTTATGCAGCGAGCGGTCACAGCCCGGCACCTGGCACACCGCGCCCTTCTTGGGTTGCTCTGCAGTAGCATTCGGGGCTTGACAGGGGTGAGCCAGGGTGATGTGCAGGCAGGCAGGCAGGCAGGCCGCCGCCGTCCCGCAGTAAGCGGCGTGCCCCGCGGTATGCGCCGCGACAACCCGGCCCCTACCCCCCCTGCCGGCGCTGCTGCTGCCTGCTGCTGCTTCCGTACCTTTGAAGAACGAGCGGCCACGCCCACGCCTGCAAGGAAGGGACGGGGTGCAAGTGGTGAAGAGTCATGGTTACCGGCTCCCACAGCTGCCGCCTGCCATCCCTGGGAGCTCTTACTTGTACTTTGGGCCGCTATCGTGGCCGCCAAGTCCGTTAGGCTGGTCCATGGCGGGGCTGCCGAACGAAGGGCTCCCGACACCCATGGCTGCAGCGTCTCCCTGCCCGGCAGCCTGCTGCTGCTGCTGCAGAAACGGCTGCTCTGCAGCAGGGCTGCCCAGCCCAGCAGGCGGGGGCAAGCTGATTGCGGGTGCTGGCTGCGGCTGTTGTGGGGGGCTTGGGCCCAAAGCAGCGGGCAGCTGCTGCGATCTGGGCTCGCCAACCCCCCCTGCACGGGGCTGGGGCGCGCCCTCCATTTGCCCTCTCGCGGACACTGCCCAATCCGCGCCAAGAGCGTCGGGCAGACCCGTGAATGTAAAATTAGGCACAGGGTAAGGTAATACTTACGCGCGAGGCAGCAGTACTGCCAGTGTTTCTGGCCCTCGTGGCAGCTTTGGCGATGGGCGGGCGATGAGGACTGCTGTCGCGTCCAAATTTCTCCAATCAGCTGGCGATGGCACATTGAGGATTGGCGAAATGCGGGGGAGCCACCCTTGCGCCTGGCACAGCGCAGCGGCCACATGCGGCGCCGCTGTTGCTTTGTCGGCACTTGCCTCCCTTTTGGGGGACTGGGGGGCGAAGCCCCCAGCAAGCTGGCGCTTGTTTAACACTATGGAGTGAAGTTCCTGAGGAAAATTGGCCATTTCTCCTCAAAATATTGGCGATGTCAGTCATGGGGGCTGGCGACGCGCTGGCGATGTCGCCCCGCCGCCTGCCCTCATTTA